ATTGACGTATGTAGTCTATTTTAAACAGCATGACTAATAATGTGAAAGTTAGATAGGCGTTCATTAAATGTGGTACGTTCGGCGCTACAGCTTTAAACAACAGTCACTTTTGCTCACTACCGGTAGTGTTGGTACTAAATAATCGAACTAGATATTTTTAGTGATGTTACTAGAGTTGCGATTCGCGTCCGTATCCGTCCGCATCCGTACGTATACGAGGTGTGATCAAAAAGTAAGGTGAATTTTTATTTTTCTCAAAAAATATTTATTTATTCATCAATTTTTATTTTATCTCCTTCAAAGTAATCCCCCTCGGATATAATGCACTTGTGCCAACGCTTTTTCCAATCCTCAAAGCATTTCAAAAAATCATTTTTTGCGATCTTGTTTAGTTCATCCTTCGATGCCGTCTTTATCTCCTCAATCGTGGCAAAACGCCGTCCTTTCATGGGCCTCTTCAGTTTTGGGAACAAGAAGAAGTCACAGGGGGACAGATCTGGGGAATACGGTGCCTGTGGCATCGTTACTGTGTTGGTTTTAGCCAAAAATTCGCGCACAAGCAACGATGTGTGAACAGGGACGTTATCATGGTGCAAAAGCCAATTTTTATTTTTCCACAAATTCGGACGTTTCTGGCGGATTGCTTCGCGCAATTGCGCATAACTTGCAGGTAATATTCCTTATTTACTGTTCTACCCTGTGGCAAGAACTCATGATGCACCACGCCCCTGCAGTCAAAGAAAACTGTAAGCAAAACCTTTACATTTGATCGAACTTGGCGTGCTTTTTTTGGTCTTGGTGATCCAGAATGCCTCCACTGGGACGATTGAGTCTTAGTCTCGACGTCATAACCGTATACCCATGTTTCGTCACCTGTTATAACCCTGTTGAGTAAATCTGGATCATCGTTGACGTCATTCAGTAGCTCTTGGGCGATGCTCATGCGACGTTTCTTTTGGTCGAAATTGAGCAATTTCGGAACAAACTTCGGTGACACACGTCTCATGTCTAAAACACTCGTCAAAATTGATTGGCACGAACCAAATGAGATGCCAATATGATCAGCAATTTCTCTAATGGTAATTCGACGATTTCCCAACACTATTTTCTTCACTTCTTCAACATTCTCATCAGTTGTTGATGTGCTGGGGCGTCCAGAACGAGGTTCGTCGTCGGTGTCTTCTCGGCCTTCTTGGAAGAGTTTATACCAATTGTAAACATTTTTTTGGCTTAAAGTAGACTCACCGTATGCCACTTTCAGCATTTCAAGTGTTTTGGAACATTTGATTCCATTTTTCACACAAAATTTAATGCAAACTCTTTGATCCATGTTTTTAGACAGCAGCAAATCGCGGAGCACGCAAAACACTTCTAACCTTGATGCCTCTCACAAACAAAGCAAACATACTACAAAGCTGAAATTTGGAACGTATGTTCTAGACGAGTGTACCTACATAACCAAATAAAAAAGTCGAAGATCGAACGGACGTAGCCCGCTAAATTTCAAAATTCACCTTACTTTTTAATCACACCTCGTATAGTTGATTACACAACGAAAAACTGGGAATCAGAACTATCGTCGGTGATATATTCTAATCCTAGTATTGTTAAATATAGTGATGCTAGTCATTATAAAAACGCAATGGGATAATTAGGAGAATACGGGACTTTGTATGAAATAGGAGTTTTTTATCAAGTTATATGGAGTTAATATGAAGGTTTTTATTAAAAAACCAGGTGACTCGAATATAACTAAAGTAGATGAAAATACAGCTGACTCTGAAGATCAACCTTGCCTCTATATTTTATTGCTTGGCAATCTGGTGGAAGGTCATTGGGTTGTCTTGGATAAAATATTGAAAGACACCCTTACTATTGAAAAAAATAGAGGTGATCTTGCAGCAATTTTGGAAGATACACAAATAGAAAAATATACAAGTGAAAAGGAAATTGATTATCCTTATTCCTTTGTACATAAAAATAATAAGATTAATATAGAAAGTGTTGTGAAATTCCCGACTGGTGAAATGAAGGCAAAAGAATGGAAGAGAAAAAAAAAAAAAAACCAGTTTCACGTAGAAATAACTTTCGTAAGTCAAAAAGTATAGACAGCGACTTTGAATTGTCTGAGATCGATGAATGTGAAAGCGTCAATAGTGATATTTCTAAAATAAAACCAAAGAAAAAAGAAAAATTTATTTATGATATAGGTTCAGTCCAAATGCCGTCAGCAGCATTAAAAGATGATATAGGGATTTTTGACGATGACAAAATCAGAGTAGCCATTGAACAATGTCTAGTCGAAGATATGAGATGTACATGTAGATTACAATTTTATTAATACAAATTTAATTAATTTAATACAAATCTTGAAACAAGTTAGAAAGAACCATACAAAATCGTTAAGAAGATCAACGATGTAGTTTTTTGCATCCAACAAACACCAAAACACAGGAAGGAGATTGTACACATTGACAGATTAGCAACATACCACGATAGGTAATTCGCTTACTCTTCTCACGATTTTTTTGAGCTGTGGTTTTTTTTCTGTGAGATATAGGGCAAATGCCAGAGTAATGGGTAAGGTGAGGTCCACAGTATGTCAATTCGCCACCCTTGTTAAAATCCACCACATTATACACAACATTACATAACAAACTCAAGGTTCAAGGTTCAAGATTGAAGCTTTTTAAGATACGGGCTTCCGCAAAAAAATAAACTTGCTTAGAATAACCGACATCTTAGTTCAAGATTCGAATTTCTACATTCAAGTTTTCTGAATATTTTTATTGATTTTCGGGACGACAATCTAATAAAAACCGGAGGATAATGTAATATATTCGATATAATCTCTCCCGAATATTTGATTGCTAAGTACTTTTCTTTATTAGACTTAGTTATTTTATTATTTTTTCAATCTGTAGATACGACGAACTGATTCTATATACACTGTTTCTGATTTAATAAATATAGTCTAGTTTCTTTCATTAAGTTTGTATTTCGTTATAATCATTTAATAGTGGCCACAACAATATATAGAATAACAACATAGAGTTAAAGAAATGTTTCAATTGGTATTATCTAATATTATATTCAAAATACAACATTTATGTATTAAATACAGTATTATTTTATAGAATGTACAAAAATTATATAGTTTTTGGTGTCGAATTCTTGGTCCATTGGTGTCATTTTAGATACAGTGATAATGTATGTTTTTTATATGTCGAATTAACTGTTGTTTACATTAGGTACATTAAAAAATTAATTTGCAATCGCTAATTGAAATGCTTTGTGTATGCTTGTGTAAACATAAGCTGTTCGAATTTGTAATATTTTTCCATAAATTTTTTTTAATAAAATTTTTATCAATAGTTTTATAATGTCACGAATATTTTATGGAATATTAAACAAATTTGTAAAGGTTTCATGTTCATAACATTCAAAATTATTTTCCATTAAGTAAGCATAAATTTGCATATTCACTCTCACAGAAATACTGAACGAACTACTATTCATTCTCGAAGTCAACTTTTGATATTGCGAACTCTTGATAATGTGCATCTGCAGCATAGAAAGTTTACATATACTTTAAGGTTAAAATCACTATATAGTATGCTTCAAGTTCATAAACACTCATACGATTTTTTAAAAAAGCGCTCCCAAAAAGTACATCAGTGAATTAAAACTTACTTTGCACTCTTCCATTGACTTTTCTTTGTTTCTAATCAACTAATCTAAATGTTTTTTTTTTCTAAACTTGATATATTAAATGTTAAAGAAAGAAATAAGAAAATTTTGATTTATATTCCTGATTTCAATTATAGATTTACACTTGTAGAAATAGATACATCTCTACTATAAACGATTCTTTTTGACATTGCTTTACAATAAGTTTAGTTCTAATTATATAAACAAACTTCCTTATATTAAAACCATATAACATTTTTTATTACAGATAAAACTTACATTTTGCGAATTAAAACTCTTTATGTTATTAAAATTATTAATGATGAAGAAATAATGGTTATACAAGACCTTATCCTTACAAACGATATATTTTTAAATTAAGTTATTTATAATTAATAAGAACAAAAAAAGACATGAAAAATATTAAAATATTATAATAAAAATGTCTTGTTATTCATTTGTTTCAGACTGATAATGAAAACCTTCCAGGAAAAAGTTGAACTTTTGTGTATGTTAAAAATAATTTTGTTTACTTTTTCCATTTATTATCATCATTGTCCAAAATATAATTTTACATAATTTACAATTATATTACTTTATGAATTCTATTTCATTAAATCTGTTTTTGTAAAATTATATCAATATGCCGAAAAGTCAACAAAAAATTAAATAATTTCTTTAAATTATATATGTCTGTAATAATATTTCTATAAACGTTTCATATAACAGATATCATATGTCGAGAATTCGACACCACAAACAAAATAATTTATAGCATAGTGTTATTTAATTGAATACGTAACTATAATTTTGAACATCATATCATTACTACTAAATAATATGATATCACTATGTCGTGTTGATGATATCCAAAATTCAATATAAATTACTAAATGTAAATTACATTTAAACTTATGCAAATTTATGTAAATTACATATTTAATGAAATAATGTAATAAAATTTATTTTCACAAACATTGCATTCTCTTTATATTTTGTATTTTCATAACATTTACAAATATACGATAGAGTAATTAAGAGGGGGTTAATGAATTAACGACTACTCTTTTTAGGGAGATGGGGAAAGGCTAAAGCTCATTTTTCTGATTGGGAAGGGTCCACATAGAAATTTAAAAAAATTTTCTTTTTAAAAAACGGTGAAAACACCCTAAAAACGTAATTTTAACATTTATACAATAAAAGAATATGATCAAAACTCATGGGGTGGGGGAAAGTAGGGAACAGAACTGGAGACCCCCTTACATGTATATATAGATATATATATATATATATATATTTATAAATATAACCTGGATTCCTTGATGACTACAAAGATAGAAGTCGAATTCTGTAGGATGTGTTATGCAAACATCTACCGTAGTTCCTGCAGGGATATTGCCACTTTTCCCGCTTTGTTCTTTTTTATCAGCACAAAATAGTCGTGTATGATGTCGTTTCTGCACAACAATGAATGTGATACCAGGTCTGTAATCCGCTTCAAGTTTTATACAAGCCTCACGAATTGCAGTGAGCTCATGTTGTAAGACATGTAAAAATTGACCTTCAGATACAGCATCACGATATAAAATAATTCTGTGTGGTTTATATCCTCCCGTACTCTTATAGAACATAATAAGAAGCTCTCTAAAATCAATCAATACAGAAACTAAATTATGAAAACTCGATATATATGTCGTGTAATGTATTTAAAAATTATCATGCAACTTACCTAACCATAGAACTTAATTCCTGAATTATCTCTTGTCTATGTTGTTGAACTCTTACGGTAGCTGCATAGCGTGATGGATGAGCATCCATACTCCCTACAACCGCAGCTATGCTAGGTTTTTTGTTGTCCCCAGCTGGAGGATGTGTTACGTCGGCACCAAGAAATATAACAGGTTCATTAAATACCTTTGGCCTTATACTTGGTACCAAAATACTGTTGATGCCGCCTAGTTTTACATTTATTTTCAAACACAAATTTGATAAAGTCTGTGGAGACGTTTTGTTCACATTCTTCGCTTGTACGCATTGAGTTGCCATTCCTAACAATGTATCACCAACTCTTTTGACTTCAGCTAAATTTAAAAATAATAATGTTCTAAATATAATAGTTCGAAAAATAGTTCTACATGTCATAAAAATGTTTAAAAAATCCGAATACATCATTTATAAATATAATTATTATATGACGAAAACAAATAAATAAGAAGACTTTTGTAAAAATTATTTAAACAGTTATTTAGAACGATAAAAACACTTACAGCCAATATTATTTATGATTATTAAATTTTAAAAAAGAATTAATTCTCTTCATCATCAGTATTGCTCTGCAGTATTTCAAACTTTCGTTAACCATTAGGTCGCCGGGATTTTGAAAAAAATGAAAAATCGGTTTTCCCTATAGAATAGTGTTCTAAGGCCTACTAGGTAGGACCCTATCAAGGGTGGATGTGTGCGAGACAGGGGTGCGCGCCATATGGCGCACCCCGGTGGCTTACGGTATGACACAATGTTAAAATTTTCAAAAGTTCAGAATTTCCCGTTAGACGAGGTGTGTTTAAAAAGTACCCGGAATTATCGTTTTTCCAAAAAAATATTTATTTATTCGTTTACATCAATGTGGTTCCCTTCAAAGTAATCCCCCCCCAGATATAATACACTTATGCCAGCGTTTTTTCCAATCTTCGAAGAACTCTTGATATTCACTTTTTGGTATGTCCTTGAGCACTCTCAGCGATTCAGCCTTTATTTCTTCAATCGAGGAAAAATGCCGTCCTTTCATGGGTCTCTTCAACTTTGGGAACAGGAAAAAGACACACGGAGCTATATCTGGTAAATATGGAGGTTGGGGCACAACTACGGTATTGTTTTTGGCCAAAAAATTACGAACAAGCAACGACGAGTGAGCAGGTGCGTTATCGTGATTCAAAAGCCATGAATTGTTTTTCCATAAATCCGGGGCGTTTTATTCGGATTGCTTCATGCAAACGTCGCATAACTTCAAGGTAATACTCCTAGTTAACCGTACGACCTTGTGATAAGAACTCATGATGCACCACACCCCTGCAGTCAAAGAAAACTGTAAGCAAAACCTTCACATTTGATCGAACTTGATGTGCTTTTTTCGCTCTTGGTGACGTTGAATGCTTCCAGGTGGACGATTGTGCTTTGGTTTCGATATCATAACCGTACACCCATGTTTCATCACCATTTATGACCCTTTCAAGCAAACTTGGATCGTCGTTGACGACGTTTAACAGCTCCTGAGCGATGTTCATGTGATTGTTTTTTTGATCAAAGTTCAGCAGATTTGGAATGAATTTTGCTGCCACCCGTTTCATGCCCAAAACATTTGAAAAAATGTTATGACATGAGCCAATTGATATGCCAACTTCATCAGCAACTTCTCTAATTGTGATTTGGCGATCATTCAGAACCATTTTTTCCACTTTTTTCACATTTTCATCGATTGTTGACGTGCTGGGTCGACCGGAGCGTTCGTCATCTTTAACGTCTTCGCGGCCATCTTGGAAAGGCTTATACCACTCGTAAACACTTGTTTTTTTCATAGCAGACTCACCATAGGCTTTTTGTATCATTTCACACACTTTGTTTCATTTTATTTCATTTTTTACGCAAAATTTAATACAAATTCTTTGATCCATTTCTTATAAAAAAACGAAAATCGCCTAGCTCATAAAAATACGTCAAACCTTAGCGACTACCGCAGACAAAGTAAACAGTGAATATAGCTGAAAATTTTATCATACTTCAAGGGCATGTATACGAACACAATAAAAAAAAATTTTGACAATCGTATTCTCCAGACCTGCGAAATTTAAAAATTCCGGGTATTTTTTGAACACACCTCGTACAGTGAAATTTAGTGAAAACTTAATACAACGGGCTTTTGGTAAGCTGATCATGAATCTAATGTTAGATTTTAAAAATTCACCCCCAGGGACGGTGTACCCCCCCCCCCCCAATCACCCCAATTTTTTGGAAATTCAACAATATATTGAAATTTAGTGAAAACTTTATGCATGGGGGTTTTGAGGTCGCTGATCACGAATCTGAGGACAGATTTTGAAAATTCACCCCCCACAGGCGGATATGCCACCCAATCATCTCAATTTTATGGAAATTCAATTATACGGTGAAGTTTAGTATAAATTTGATACAGAGGGTTTATATATGTTTAGACCTTCTCTCGGCGTAACCCAGAATCAATGACATGGACATGGAAGGCTGGCTGATTTCTTGTGTGTGTGTGTGTGTGTGTGCGCGTGCGCGCGCATATGTACATGTGAATGTGTGTGTATAAAAGATAATGATTTATAAGGAATGTTTTGTAATTTTTTTTATTTAAAAAATTTTTTTGTTTAGATTTTTTTTCTTTTGTTTTTTTATTTTTTTTATTTATTTTTTTTATTTATGGCAAATACATTTGAGTGTGATAAATGTGAAAACAAGATGTAATACATAATAATACTTTACATTTATCACATCCTATTCTGCTTTCTGATCTCTTATTCATCATTTTGCATAGCACACACCTTTTTTTCGTTACATCACAAAGGGATGACAATGAAACCGGGAAATGTTTTCCTATTAGACGATTAGGATTTCTACAATCCTAACATTTGGCTCGTCTTCTAAGTCAAGAATAGCAGAGACTATTTTTAGCCGAAACTCTGGGAAAGATATTCTGGGATTATTTACGTTGTACCATGCATGGGCGTCGATGAGTACCATATCAAGCAAATGAAAAAACAGTTTTTTGTATCATTTCATTAATTTCCTAATTGATTCTGTCAAGGATAATTGTCTATCAATAGCATCGATCCCTCTCATATTTTTATCATAATCAATAATAATGCAAGATGGCTTTATTATATCATCGTAAATTTGATAATGTTTCTTTCCTGTCGTAGCAAATTTAAATTCGTGTACTGAAGTGATCACATGTACTTCTTTTTTATCTTGCCATTTTATGGCCATGTGTATATTATTATGGGAAACTTGTACCTCTCCTTTATTGAGACGCATGTCTAATTTTGGTAACCCCTTCCTTTTTTTACGGTACGGTACCGCATAGTTACGGTACTCGTATCTTTTTCATGTAGGAATTCTGTCAAAATGGGAGAAGTATACTAATTGTCTGTATAAACAATATGACCTTTGTGAAAATATAGCTTTAGAGAGCGAGCCACAATATCACCTGAAATACCTAGGTCAAAACGTTCATATTCAGTATTTTTAACTGTACAGATCATAAAATCTAAAATAAATCCAGTTTCACAGTCAACAATTTCAAATATTTTTATACCAAAGCGATGTCGCTTTAGAGGTAAATATTGTTTAAAAGCTAGCCGCCCTTTTCATAGTACAAGATCTTCATTGATGCATAATTTTTGTCCTGGATCTAGAACACTTGAAAATTTCTTTTTCAAATAATCTATAACAGACTCCAAATTTCTCACCGGATGTGTGTTTGAATTGTTATTATCTTCAAAATGTAAGAAACGAATTATTTGGAGATAGCGATTACGAGTCATTGTTTGATGAAATATTGGTGTGACTAACATTGGGTTAGTGCTCCAATAATCTTCAAGACATTCTTGTCGAATGTGACCCATAAGAATAGTCAGAGCAATAAACTTTAGAAGCTGATATGATGTAACATTTGATCATTTTGCAATATTAACCCGCTTTCCTAATGTTTTTTTCTGATAAGGATTTGTTTCTACACATATCAAAGTAACAAGGTTTTCATCAAATAAATACTTGAAATAATAAACGGGGTCATTTCCAGCTAATTGTATACTCTCCCGAATACCAGATCTAGAAGTAAACAGTTTGCTTGAAGGAGAAAAATAATTATCGTAGTAAACTTGTGCAGGGATGTACTATATTCTAAATCATTATTATCAATGTCACAAATTTGATCGTTAGTATCAGAGTTTGTTTCACTTGACTCAAACTCTCCACTACTATACATATCATGTTCATTATTGGTATTTGCCATTTTTGAAATAATTCTTTTTTTCAAACTACAAAACTATTTATTCTAACAATCATGCATTCATCTTCACAAACATAAATAACACGATACTCGGTGGTTATTGACTTGTTATAAAGTCAGATGTTATCATAGATCTTCACATATGTGGTCAAATTTAGTTAACTAATTTTATAGTGTATCAACTTTGAAACAAAAGAATCCAGGTATAAAAATTATCAAGTCTAGGGGAATAAACATAAGTAGTAATATACACTTACTCATCAAATACACTAGTACATTTAGTTATTGAAATTTGATTATTGAGTTATTTTTCTTTTGTTTTATAAAAATTTATATTTTTGCGAACTTTGAGTTAAGATACTCATTAGAAAGTAATAAAAAATAACTTGTAATATATAACGAGTAAATTTCTCAAGCTAGGTTAAAATAAAAAAGTTTATAACCGATTGAGTGTTCTCTGCATATGTATAAGTTCAAATACAGTTGCCTAAAATATTAATGTTTATGAATAGCTAGATCTAGTTATAATTTTGTTATTCCCGCTATGTTTACATATCGCTCATACAAAGTACAACTCTTCACAACTGTCAAACGAGCGTTGAGATTCAAGAACACTACTATACGTTTCGAGTACGCAAATCACGTAAAATATAAATAGCCGAATGACCATTGGCTGTCAAATACAGAAAACTGAAAAGTCGCATCCAAACCTTCCTAGGGGAATAAAATGATATAATTCGTTTTAAGATATCGTGGGGGGGGGCGTTTATCTATGTTTATTATATGAAACAGATGGTATACAGGGACATTAATTAATTTTAATAATTAATTAATTATATAAACCAAGGCATAGGCAATCAAAGTTATAAAGAATAGATATTACCCACCCATAGTAGTTTATAAAACCATTGTACGCTGTTGGATACTATAACGAGTTGAACCTTACTCGTTATGTCTCTCTCCCTATAAAATTATTATGACATGAATAATTTATAAAATAATTTTATGTAGCATTGTCTCCGTATTAAAGACGCCGAGCAGATTACAGCC